GCCCAATGTAATCAGTGTAAATAGGGAATTCAGCATCTATGTTCATAACTATAGGATTAGGTAGCAGTCAAATCATGACAACAATGAACTAGGACAGGTGAATACCAGAATTTCCTTAACTGCGCCGTTTCCGCCGGTAGAGTGGTATCCCACGCTAGAATTATACTAGCCATTTCTCACTTTTTCGGTTTACTGTCGCCTAAGCGAACAATGTCGTAAAGTCCGCTCTGGCGATAAAGCGATTGCGACGGCATATGTCGAGGTTAATGGTTGAGTCGTACGTATTATCTTGTGTTACATTACGTCTTGAATTTTCGGCGTCGTATTCCTTCTCGGCTTTAGAAAGTCTTATAATGGGTAAAGGATCCGCCGGTGACCCTTGTATACCTAGATGGCTGACATTCCCCTTGACTGATGTAGCCTCTACCAAGCATAAAAAGTGACTAAGAGGCGCAGTGTCGTACAAGGATCCGCCAAATCGCCAGGAATGTTTTCAATTTGCGAATCTTACAAGCCACTTTGTCATGCCTGCATGCTATATGCTATTACAGCTCCTATCTCCGAGCTGAGGTATATAATATGGCTCAGTCGCCGTATGGGACTTCTGGCGCATCACTCTCAGCCTCAAAGACCGCTCGCAGCAAGTCCCTCGATCGTTGGGTGAAATCACCATGAAGTCAGACGGGATAGGTTATTGGATGTCCGGACGCTCTAAAACCATTCTCGCCGGATTGTTGGCCGTCCTAGGTGTAGCAGATATCGCTAATGCCGTTGCAATCCCGCCCCCTACAGGCCCATATGGGGTCGGCGTTCGTAAATACACCATCGAACACTTCAACGATCATGACCCCGTGGCGCCGAACAACGTTAGCACGGCATTCCTAGCAACCGTCTTCTACCCCACGCATCAGAAGCTTCAAGGAGCACCTCAACCGTACCTGAACCCGGAGACAGCAGTGTTCTTTGAGCAGGCCTGGAACTACACGCCTGGAGTCTTGGCCTCGCTCACCTCAACCGTGCAGCAAGGTGCCCCTTTTCTAGATCCCAAAGACCTAACTAAGGAAAGACAAGGGAAAGCATCGCCAGATCTCCCAACCATCATATTTGGCCCTGCATGCGGTGGGCCCCCTGTGGAAGGCAACACGATCCTGATCTCCGAGTTAGCATCATATGGCTATACTATAATCGGGCTAGATCACCCCTTTGAGCAGCCCTTCATCAGGTACCCCAACGGCACAGGCGTTGAGGGCATTGTTATTGACTACAGTTCAATTGAGCTCATTACGGCCATCTATGAGATGCGGCTTGGGGATAACGCAGTGTTCCTGGATCAACACCTCCCCAAGTTAGTACAGAAGTTCAACTTACCAATCAACGCTACTAGCCTCGGCGCCTTCGGATACTCCCTGGGCGGTGCTGCAGCGCTTGGCTCGCTACAACGTTCTAGCAGCCTCATCTCCGGCTTGGATCTAGATGGCACCCTTTTCGGGGACCCAGCATCAAACAGCAGCACTGCTGACGAGCGGAAGCCGGTATTCCTTCTAGGTAATGAGGGCCACGGCGGTGGGTATGGGGGAGACTTCTCGTGGGCCACGTTTCCGCTGTGGCAGACCGGGTACCAGCGGAAGATGCTCATCAATGGGACGACGCACCTAGACTTCTGCGATAACACCTTCTGGAAGACGTTGGATACCGGAGAGGACTCTGGTGCAGGGTCAATTGATGGATATGAGCAGGTTCGGATTTTGGACGCCTATGTCAAGGCTTTCTTTGACCTCACTTTGTTAGGTCGGCATTCGCCTATCTTGGACGGGCCATCTCCTGAGTTCCCAGAGGTGTTGTATTACGAAGAACCGTAGGTTTGATGACTCGTAAAATTTGCCTAGATGCTCGGGGTGGAGGAGTACGTAGCTTTGAATATAGAAATGCATGTTTCGGAATGTGCAATGCGTATTGTTGACGCCTCATTATCTAGCAGCCTGTTAAGTCAAATATAAATGTGAAAGATTGTACCCAAACCTCTAAAAACATGCAAGTCGGATATTCATTCGGAACAGCATTATGCCACGACAAGTAGCCACGGTTTGACGCAAAGTAGACCATGAAAGCGATGCAATCTCTTTCGATGTTGTCATTAGTCCCTTTGTTAGGGCAGTGATGTTTATGACTTAGCGAGATTATTAGTTTCCTACATACACTAATAGGGGGTATGCCGTTAGGTGCTTAGTAACATCCATGTTTGTTAGTATCCTATGAATATTACACGTAGTGCCACTATAACATATCTTTGAGCTTCCGTCAGTGGAGAAATAAAGCTATGCGAGAAGTTCAGACCGAGGAAACGTGTAATCTGGTAGGCATTTTAACCTGAAATGGAAAGAGATAGAATAAAGGGGAATGGATGAAATCGATGCCGCCGAGGGAGGTGGTGAGCCGAAGAGAGACAGGGCAGAAAGTAGAGCGCAAGTTCATATTTGTCAAAACGTATCTAGGTAGGTACCTAAGTAGATGCGTACATTAAAGTGACTACTGTTGAACTTATTCTATGTTGTTAGATTAGGTACCTACCTACCTAGGTACATATAGCCTCAGGTAGTTAATTTTACTTGTAAATCACTACTCGTAGTGACATCTCGGTGTAACTACCAGTGGTGGATGTGACTCCTGTCTTTTTAAGGAGAATGTTGAGTCGAGCGCCTGTGCATTGGTCTCACCTGAGTGGTACATCCAGACACAACGGGGCTATTACTACGGCGATTATTCCATGTACTCGAAGTAGCAAAAAGGAACAGTGAATGTTAGAGGGGTTATCAATCTCTGAAAGAAGGCACTTCCTCTGAACAGAACGCGACTTCCTGCCGCCATTTGCCTCCCGAACTTCCAGTTCCCCGGCGACCGCAGTCACATCAGTCCGCTCCTTCCCACTATAAGTCTTCGCCCTTTGACTGTTTATTGATTGACTAGTTCTCGTCCAGTCTGACCGGTTATATATTCCAAAACCCTACCAACCCAATACACAAAAACCACGTACTTGTGTCCGTTTCTACACCATCCGCACTATTCTGTCCACCTTTATTACCATAACCCCATCCTCTATTTTCACAGGCCACAACCAAGTAAAGAAAATCAGAACGCTCTACTTTGCTAGAATACATGCAGGGCTTGGCAGAGTGGCTATATCTACGTGATAATAACCTCTCTACCTACCTACCCTCTATCCTTTCTTCTTCAACTTATTGTACTCTCAAAACATCCCCTTCATTCATACTCCTCCTACCAGGATACATTACTTCTTGATATAGGCGAGGGACTACCGGGATAAGAAAGCTGCCGCCGACAAAAAACGGTGCTAACGACAAGACTGGCGGCGCCAGCGCCAAAAAAGATGCCGCCACTTCGAAGAAATACGACGGCGCTGCCGAAGAAGGTTCCTACGGGTCAACCTAGAACACGCAGTATGTCGAGTATGTATGAACAGCGGTCCGTATATAGGGATCAACACCAAGAAGAGCGCTCAGCTTCGCCGGAGCAACGAACATGGAGAACCATTACACCTGCTCCCCCATCCGCCGGGTTGCCTCCTCGGCCAGCTCCAGCTCTTCGGGGTCCGCCCCGAGAGTATGCTCACGGTACTACCATCCCACAAACTTCCCCTCTGGTTTCCCTAATCGTCCAGCCAGATTGCCTCACTGAACTATTAGCTAACTGTTCTTAGATAGGCTTGACATTGCCCAAGCTGGAGTATCTCATTTGCCTGCGAAGCCACCCCCTTCAGGATTCGGATTCACCTCTCTTTTACCACCTCGTCATCCTACTCTGCCTCTACGGCCTCCAACTCCGGCTATCCCGACGACCACAGAAAACAAAAATGCTATAGAAGTCCGAGAGCAGGTGTTGAGAAGGATTAAGTGAGAAATTAGTGAGACCTCACCAGAATACCCGGCACGACGACGACAGAAAACCCCATACAGTGGTTACAATACCAGACACTTGCCAATGGAACGTCAACATGAACAACACTACAACGGCTCCTCTTCTTCCCACAACGTAAAGTGGGAAGAAGAAGACGATGATGAGCCTGGTGGGGGGGAACTAGGCGTCTCAGCCTGTCGTCGGAACTTGTAAAGTGGATAAGGCACGACAATAGAAGATAGCACTGAAAGGTATGTGTCTGTCTGTCTTCATTCTCCTCTTTTCACATTCCCAAATCTTTCCATTAACAGCCCTATTGTTGCGAAGTCCGAAAACGATAGCTAACGTATCACGTCATCTCAGCTTAGTTACTGTCAGAGTATTGTACAATGCAACACATCACTCACTATCACATAATGGGTTATTCACCGACGACTTCAGTGTGAGCAAATGGGGACCACACGTATCGGGTGAAACAATAGCCTGAGGTTTCTCATAGAAAGGCGATAAACTTACCAACTAGATCGTTAATAGAACTCTCTTACCAACTCCTCTGCCCTGCCCTGCTCCCTACCTTACAGTTATAGCTTCCATCTATCCAAGCTATCCCAACTGCTCCAACTATCATAACTACTATAGCTGCACTAGCCATCCTAACCGCCATACCTATCCTACCCAGGTGGTTATCCTAGCTATCCTAACTGCACCGGTTGTCGCAACCCCTGTTTAGCACTGCGTTACCACTAAACAGTTGACTTAGTAGTCTAGTCAATAGGCTAGTCTCGTCAACTAAATTGTTCAAGTGACTGAGCCATTTCCTGCCCTCTAATTACGTATTCTCATTTTTCGATTTCTTTTGTTTTACGTTGGTCCTTATTATTCAGGAAAGCCAAGACCTTAACACAGAAACCTGAAAAAACCTCAGGCATAATTAAAGGGGTTTATATGATAGATACTGTTAGATATTGTAGTAAAATAAGTCACGTGGCTCCAAGTTCTTTCGTTCTTTATCAGCAGTCGAGTGACTGTAGAATCGGTTGGAGTTGAAAACGAGGAGGGAATAATGGCGAAAAAGAAAAGGGAGTAAATGCCCCCACACCGGATTGAACGATGGACCTCATCATATCGCACGGAGGTAGGTACTGCTAAGTATTAGCTGCCGTAGTCCCATTATCGCATAGGTAGATATTCACTTGCCGAGTGATGCGCTCTACCACTGAGCTATAGGGGCCAATGCCATTGGCTGCGCATTTTACTCGTATTGTAATTATTATGTTTGTCTAGCCGAAGACTAGCCAGCTAGCAGATTTTGTCGGTGGGCCGGTAACTGTTTACAACCAATCAACGCCCTTTCGCTTTGCAATACTTACCTAATCCATTAAATGGTGGTGCCCGACCACCACGTGACTAGCCACGATATTACATTTTGTTGTAAGTAATGGCACCTACATCGACTCATAGCTTACCGTGTACAGTCTCGTAGAGGAGCAAAAGCTTGACAAGTTCTTAGGATCACCAGAACGAACCATTCCAAACAAGAATCCATGTACTGAAGTCGAATCAACGGCTTCCGATGCTCATTGCATTCGCTTCATTCTCGCAAAGAAAAAAGCCTTATGGCGGGGCATTTTCGTGTTTTGCACTTTGATATATCACATGAGAGGGTTTCTGCAGCCAGATCAGTTCGGTCTGCTGTCAGGCAGAAACTCTCTATGCATAGCCCCATCGAGGCGCAAGCTCCTTCATCGAAGACAGTAAAATACATGTACCGTATGCAGTGCCGATTTGTCTGTATATATTATTTAACCTACCTAGAAAGAGCGCCTAGTGTGTTGGCATTTACAATTCGAACCCCCTCCAGTCGGCTATGCCTTGTTACTGAGGCCGAGCCATCTCAACTTGCGGGATGTGTTGCTCACTATCCGACCAGCTTTTCCAAATGCTCTATTCGCTGACACCAATATCCTCAATACGGCACAGCCGTGTCTGCCGACCCATTCATGGCTGGGTGCTAACCTACCTTCCCGTCCCGGTTCTGCTAGCTCCGACCACCTCCGTTTAACCCCCGAGGCTCTGACTCCACCCAGGCACCACTTTGAATAAGATGGAGCCGTCGAGGACCCGGAGCGCCCTCTCATCCTGATATGAACGATGCCTCTTTCACTTCGCCCACGCTACTCCTCTTCACGCCCCGACTGGCGGCCGCAATGGCCCTGTCGCCAGAGGTCTACGCCAAGAAGCAGCCCAAGATAGAGCCTGATCCAGATTTCGCCCATCATTGATCCTCGCTGTTTGGCGTTTTTGATCCGCAGAAAGGTCCAAAGTGTGGCTGATAATACCATTATTATTAAGCAATTAGACTTTTATCCACCCGGTAGCAGTGATTAAAACATCAGCTTTATGTTGATCTGAGGCTGGATTTGTTGGGTATTTCCTTCCGAGTCCAGTGAGTGAGACGTAGTCGGAGTGATAAAATATGGGCCCCTTTGCTGGTATGGTATCTGTGAGTCATAATCATTATCATCAGCACGCTTATGCTTACCTATGACCCATCGGGGTCATCGCTAGGCAGCTTATATTAGTCGTACATAGGTACGTATTTGAAGTATAGCGTCGTAAGGGAAATGCCGAAAAGGATTTCCTTGATGAATATGTACTGTATACTGTATTCTATATACAGTAATACAGTACATGCGGTATTTATTATATGCGTATACATACTGTGCAATCATATAAAAGACTCCTTTCCCAGTAGAATAATATACATCTATACCCAATACGGGTACCATCGCATAGCAACAATGGCTTTCAATCCTAGAAATCGAGATACTAGAATCGACTTTGGGCTTCTTAGCAAAGAACTCTCTCAAAGCCCGCTCGCTCTTAAAAGCCACTCTATAGGAGAACAAACCCCTGGAAGACTACCCAACCAGAACGAGAACCATTCGTTGACGGAGCAGAAACGTTCCCCAGATAATATCCTGACTAGCCAACCCATTTCGGTAATACGACACTCCCCCTGGGATACGTACGAAGCACTTTACCGACTCCAGCTCGGCGACTCCGAACCTACAATTGTGGCGGCGGAGGAACGTACCATTTCACCCGAGAGTCGCTTCTCTCTTGTTGTGGTCCGGCACGTGTCCGGACTGGACGAGATAGAACGCATCCAACAAATTCGGCACGAGCATTTCGTCACCGCCTTGGCGATATTTGACCACGAGGGCTCCTACACCGTCGTCTTCGAGTACATGCCACTGTCGCTTCTAGAAGTGGCCGGGAACCCCCTTCTGAAAGAACTCCAACTTGCCTCTATCGTGGGACAGGTACGTACGATCGAACCATTCACGGCGCCTTGGTGACACGATATAAGTGCCGAATTTGACAAAGACAAGATTCTTCACGGGCTTCTCTACCTGACCAAGCATCGCCAGATCGCACCTACATCTGCACCTACACCTACACCTACTTCATTCCAACTTTATTTCTCCAGAAACACTCGCCACAATGTCGAAGCAAGCCACAACCCAAGCCGAGACCCCCGATCTCCCTCCGTCTTACGACGAGGCCGCGTCCGCGCCTGCGTCTCCTAATCTCGCCAATGAGACCCTGGAGCCGATCATCCTGGTCGTCTCGGGCCAACCATCCACGCCGAGACGGCGTCCACCGCCCCGCTGTACCACCTCGACCGCGGCATCGAGTCGCTGACCCTTGCGACATCCAAGGTAACCCTCGAGCGCGTCGAGCAGGCCGTGCGCACCAGCCCCGCGAACGAGCCCTCCCTGCGCGACCACCGCCGCCACATCTTCGACCTCGAGCAGCCGTGGAGGTCGCCCTACCACCCGCTCCCCTCGAGCTGCCCGCGCATCTTCGCGCGCGCCGTCTCCAAGCGCGCCCTCGGCCACGTCGGCCTCAAGAAGCCGCGCCTGTCGCGCACTAGCCCGTTCAAGGCCCTACCCGTGGACGTCACCGGAAAGGGCAACGACCTCGGCGCGCCCGGGTTCGTCAAGGATGCGAAGCCGCTGTTCGAGCTCCGCAAGAAAGACCGCCGCTGGGAGTGGGCGGATAAAGAAGGTAATGCGGTCGCGGTCGAGGACGACGGCGAGGACACGCACCGGCTGATCGTGACGGCGCCGCTGCTGCGGGAGACGCTGGATGCCCTGGTGGCCCTGTGGTGCTGCCGCATGTGGGAGTGGTCTACGGACAATGTGGAGGGCCTGCTTCAAGGCATGGAGGGAGGTGAGCTACCTACCTACCTTGGGACCTTGACAAGAGAGTTATACTGATTTTTCCGCAGTTAGACGTAGACTCCGACAGGGAAAAGCGGCCGGCGTGACTGGTATTTCGGGTTGGATCTTTTAAACAGCGAGTTGCATCGAGCCGGTCTAGACTAAAGTTCGGACCGAGAATGGAGACTAGCTGCGGTGGCCCGTTGTTAACTCTGTGCCAAAATCGAAAAATTATAATTGACTTGCCCTAAAAAGTGTTAGATTCAAGGGTTAATTGAATTAGGTCTGAATCTTCTGATTAGGCCCACTTGGTCAGGGTCTATTCATTCCTAGCCACCGGCTAATCCTCGGATCTAACAGTTATAAACTTATTTAACGTAAATTTTATAATAACGTTCGAGTTTATTTTTTTTTTATAATTATTTATTTTATTTTTTATATTTTTAATTTAATTATAACGAATTTTCGATTTTTTTAATAAATATATATTTTTAAAATAAATCGTTAATTTTATAACGTAATTTAAAAAATATTAAAAATAATAATATTATTAATAAAATTAAAATTAAATATAATTTTAACTTATTAAATAAATTTATTAAATTATAAATTTTATAATATAATAAATATATTAATTAATAACTTATTTAAAGATATATTAACGTTTAATATTATAATAATATAATAAATATTAAAAAATTAAAAAAACAAAATTTATATATATATATTTATATTATTATTATTATTATTATTATTAAACCTTTTTTTAATTTTAATTAATAATATTATAATATTTAATAAATAATAACTATTATAATAAATTATAACTTTCCTTTTTAATTATATAATTATATTTTTAAATAACATTATATATTTATAAATAATTTTTCTAAATATCTAATTTAATTGATCTACTAAGACTCTCGAACTGATCTGATCTAATATATATCTAATTATATTGATTGAAGATATCTGATATTCGTGCCCCGCTAACGGTTAGTAGTAGGAGCCCGCCAGGAGGTTAGCAGCGAAGTGACAGATTCGGACCCGGGCATGCTCTTAATGGTTTTAGGAGCGGACGGGATGCCAATAATCAAGAATCCAGACGTAATTTCTCCTATCCCCCATAGACCAATATCTGGTATATAGTAGAGCTCGTCAGCACTTCCCATCAATTCTAATAGAACGACGAGGCGGACTATTCCACACGCGGTAGCACTTCGTAAAGTTAGACCAAGTCCTACAAAATACGGCAGGGAGACATACAAAATACCGATTATAAACAGCAACGAGACACCTAGTTTCCTTGTTCGTAATGCATTGGAATGCCAGATTACCCACTGAGGTGCGAGCAGGATGGTAAGGTCCGAGACGAGGTTGATAAGCCCCGAAGCCATATTTTTTGCCTTGATATCCACAGGACAGCTACCACCCTCAAATAGAGGATTCCATATATTTTCACGTGGGTGGCAGCGGAAGATCTCAATAAAGGTTCCAGAGGCGAAGAACAAGATGTTGCACCAAATCAAGATATGAAGCACCCAGAATAGTAAGTTACGTTGGCCGGTCGGAACGAAAATCTGAAGCCAATCCATCAATATGGCTGCCTTGAGAAACATGATAGACAGGCCGTAGAAAACCGATGCAAGATGGACGCCCTGAGAGGTCAGTCGGCTGTGATACTCAACTCGCAAGGTACTAGTACACTTACGTATGAAAAGCTTTCCAAGTTCTTCAGCGGTAGGTTCCATAAGTGCACTCGGATACCTGGATATATCGACCATTCATAGATAACATAGATGTACCCAACGAAAAGGCCCTAGGTACATATTAGTGGATCCACACGGCAGTGACGGTATTTCATTTTGTCTGTACATATGCGATGAACAAGAAAACATCTTCAGTTCTGATTTTTCTTGGGGAAATCCTGGAGCCGAGTCGAGACAGAAGGGCCAAGGTTGACAGCACACCACAGAAAATGACGACGAAGTACCCGATGGTG